GCAGCGCATAAAACAACATGCCGAGCCCTTCACCACTAACTGTCAGATTTGCTCTTTTCTTGTTTCTTTCTCTCTCTCTGTCTGTCTCTGTCCAGAGAAAGTGCAGAGCCGTCGGCTGGCGCACAAAGTCCCTGCCCCCCCGCAAGCCTTTGTGCCAGCTCCCGCGCGCCCGCGGTGTGCATTAGTGCCCACCCATGCAAGACGGCCAACACCGCGCATGCCAGCCAGCCCACCGAGCCGACAGGGCACGCGGCAGCCCTGAAGAACACCTCCACAACCAGCGGCGGTGCCAACGGCCCCGTCAGAGCCCAGCGTGGAGTCCGAGGACGAGAAAGCCAAGAAGCTCCTCTAACTGTTCGCTGTGTAAAGTGGCTGTCAACTCCCTCTCACAAGCTGGAGGCACACAACACAGGTGTTGGCCAAACATCTGCCTCCGCATCACACTCTTTCCCACCGCTCCCTCATCCATTATACCTTTTCTTTATCAGAAATGAAATGTGTCATGAAGTGACCCTCTGAGGCTTGGGAGTGAAATGGAAATGTACTGCAGTTTAAAACATCAATCAGAACCAGTGTAGCGATGTGAGGCTCATCATTGATAATGTATGAAGAACAAGGAAATGTGGACGGGTTTCCCACTGTCAAGGAGATCCTGGACATATTGCAGAATTTTAAAAAGACTGGAAAAGTCATTGAGACTAATCAAATATTAAAAAAGACATGGACATTTATGTATTCAATTAAGTTTTTTTTTGTAGTTATGCTCAGCTATAAAATATTTTATCTGCAAGAAATAGCTTTTTTTAATGCTTAGAAAACATTATCCAGACACACTATAGAAGAATGTGTTCAGAGTTGGGCGGGTGATAAAGCTACAAAATATCTTGATATGTTTCAGCCTTTTGACAATATTCAGTATATACACAACTGTTTAAAGGTTTGTGTATCTATCTATCTATCTATCTATCTATCTATCTATCTATCTATCTATCTATCTATCTATCTATCTATATATATATATATATATATATATATATATATATATTATATATATATATATATATGTATATATTAAGTTTGTGTATATTCAGTGTCACATGATCCTTCAGAAATCATTCTAATATGCAGCTTTGCTGCTCTTTTGTATTATTATCAGTTAAAAACTTTTGGAAACTGATGTGTTTTTTTTTTTCAGGATTCTTTGATTAATAGAAGGTTTAAAAGAACAGCATTTATTTGAAATAGAAGTCTTTCGTAACGTTATATAAATGTTTTTACTGGAACTTTTGATTAAGTTAATGCATAATAAAATCCGAGGGAGCATCGTCAGTAGCACCTGAATATTCATTGGCAGTATAGCACCCAATTTTCATTGGATGTTTCGACCATTATGTTTCAACCATTATAACTAGACATCCTCGGCTGAGGAAGGCTCTACAGGGGTGATCAAGTCCCTGCAGTGTATCCCCCCAATCACTCAATCTAGCTGGAGCCCAGCAAGAGTCTTGTCTCTTTATCCACAGCCACTGGCTGATTCTCTCAGCTGCCTCAGACACTGCTTTGATGGGCTGGCGCAGGCTCTGGCCTCTGATTCCCAGGTCTCCAAGCTGTCTGGTGGTGGACACTACCACAAACCCCCTGCACTGGACGGTCTTCAGTTTTCCATGCGTGATCTTGTGCTTCAGCATCTAGCTCAGCATAGCGTAGTTGTTTTCGCTCGTATGCCTCGTCCACTGAGTCCTCCCAGGGTACAGCGAGTTCTTCTTCAAGGCATTAGTGTGGTGATTGCAATCTCTGGAGGAAAAATGAGCATCTTGCAGTCACAGGCCCCTTGAAGCTGACCATGCTCCAGAGAAGTTGGAAGAAGTTTTAGATGTTTTCTATCTAAAATCCCAAATTTTGAATTGATTCACTTAAAGGAGCAGTTCACTTTTAAGAAAAAACTTTTGCTGATAATTTACTCACCCCCATGTCATCCAAGATGTCCATGTCTTTCTTTCTTCAGTCGAAAAGAAATTAAGGTTTTTGATGAAAACATTCCAGGATTTTCTCCATATAATGGACTTCAATGGGAACCAAACGGTTCAAGGTCTAAAAGACAGTTTTAGTGCAAACTGCAAACTGTTGAAAGGGCTTTAAACGATTCCAGACGATGAATAAGGGTCTTATCAAGAGAAACGATCGCTCATTTAAAAAAAAAAATAACAAAGTTTACGTTTTATAAGCTCAAACGCATGCCTTGCTCTGTTCTGTGATGCGTGTTTGTGACTCTCCTGTTCGAACTTGTTCATCAAAATTAACAAATCTTTCCGAGCCATTCATTTTGTTTGTTGAATGAACCAAATGACTCGGAAAAAGATTTGTTCATTTTGATGAATTTTATGAATTCGTTCAGTTCATTTTTAGCACTGAAACTGTCTGTTGGACCTTAAACCGTTTGGTTCCCATTGAAGTCCATTATATGGAGAAAAATCCTGGAATGTTTTCATCAAAAACCTTAATTTCTTTTCGACTGAAGAAAATAAATTATCAGCAATTTTTTTTTTTTTAAAGTGAACTACTTCTTTAATACTCGCAAGTCGTGAGACAGGGGCGTATCACAAAATGAGTAGTGAAGGAAATTTAGGAAACTTAAAATACACATACCTTCAACAAAATCTCGTATATTCCACAACTGTAGGCCATAAAAATAAGCATGAGTTAAGTCAATTTCTCATCTGACTTCATTGAAATATTCATTGTTAGA